CATAGATACACCATTGTATAGGACATGCAAGAAACAGAAGATTACTTCACATGATACTCCAAGTTATCAATGCTCTTTAATCTCACATTTCCTAAACATAATATTTAAAATTGAAGACAAAAACAACTACAAACAAAATTTGAAAATCTTCCTTTCAAGAAGCAGAAAATACTCACACACTGTTCATCAACAAATTGCTCGTGATTCCAGTTTTCACTGAGTTACAGTTCCCACAATATCTAAATAGATTGCATAAGTCATGTTAAGTTGTCATTTAGGTGAAATTTAACTACATACGACTTTGCTTTTTCTGGTACAGGAAATGGCCTGGAGTCCTGCCTGTTCATTTTCAGGTGTTTTTGTTTTGTTTTTGTTTTGTTTTTGTTTTGATACTCTGATGAGAAATATAATTTAAAAGATTATATGCAAAAGGTATTAAGCAAGGCAGACTTTCAGTCCCTGTTTAGAATTCATAGATGTTACTTGGCAACTTTTAATATTTGATGACAACAAACTTATCTTTCAGGTGAGAGCTTGCAGAGGAGTACATGCAGTTTGCAAAGCAATGTCGTTATACCTGAAAGTAACACTTTTTCTGGCATGCTGCCTTTGTGACTACTTTTGGGACCATTGCCAGAAATTTTAAATGTGTCTCATGATATTCTCAGTGCACTTCTGTATAAAATTCAGTCACTATTATGGCTAGTGCACTTTGCTACAGCATTCAACGATACCACTTTCAATACATATGTATGCTGGTGCATCATGTAAATGTTGCACCTGAGCGTTACTGCTTATATGAACAGAACAATGAAATTCCTCTTAGGAATTCTTTGGAAGAACGATTACCATCAAACTGTAAGGAGAAAATGCATTAAATCCTTCACTGGAAGCTGGCACTAAGTATCTCAATAGGAAATTGAACACAAAACATGCATTTGACATGAGGAGCCGACTTTTCAGATTTGAGCTGTAATCAAATCAACTGTATATAGAGAAAGGAAGGAATGCCTTTCACTTGGTAGGATATGACAGAAGCATCATTTAGCCGCAGTGAGGACTAGCACAGCTACTTCAAACTTTCCTCTCTGGAACAGGTGGAGACTAAGAGCCATTTCTCTGCTTTCTGTCCAAATATGGCATAAAAACTTGAAAAATATTTATGTTGCAGCTGATTAGTTTTACACCCAAAATGATCACTTGTCATATTCTATTCAGATTTCTGGTTATTACATTTGTTGAAGGTTTTTTCAGATTGGAATGCAAAAATGCACCTCTTGCATGCTCTGAGCCTACTGGTCCCCGATGGGCAAGGAGACCTAACGAGTGGCTCAGCACACAGCTCAGAGAAATCATCTGCAGTGAATTCCATGAAATTGCATCCACAGAGGATAACTGGGAGTTGGAGGCATGAAGGAATGTAGGGTTATGCTGGTATCACTGGGAATCTACCCATGAATGACATGATGAGCAGAACAAAAAAAAGAATTGTCAAGGTCAGGCGCACAATACATTTTAAAGTCTAATGAAATCAAAAGGCTGATGCAGTCTAAGGTAAGTATAAAACTAGTATAGATAGAATCCTTACTCCTGGAAAAGAATCAGGGCAGGAACTGCAGTGCTTCATAATGTGATTGTTGGAGCACTGCACAAGAGGTTATTTCCTCACTGCCTGATGTGTGCAGGGCTGTGTAAAGCCATTGGGATCACTGAAGAACACTTTTCCTCGCTGCAGAAGGATAAAAATAAGAGATCTGTGGAGCCCAATTGAACCATTAAAAAGTGAGAGAGCTTTACCATCCACATCATTCTCTGTGAGCACCAACCAATCACTTTTCTTTTCCAGCCATTTTCTATAAACCAGAGGAACAATTGCACAAAGTTGCAAAGCTCTGCTGAACATGGTCACAGCTTAATGTTTCATCATCATCAAATTGTTTAGTCTGGAGAAGATGAGGCTTAGAGGAGACTTTATTGCACTCAACAACTTCCTGAAGGAAGGTTGTGATGAGGAAGGGTTTGGTCTCTTCTCCTAGGCAACAAACTGGACCCGAGGAAATGGCCACAAGTTGCACCAGAGGTTTGGGTTAGATATAAGGAAGAATTTTTTCTCTCAGAGAGTGGTCAGGCACTGAATGGCTGCCCAGGGAGGTGGTGGAGTCGCCGTCCCTGGCAGTGTTCAAGAGGCGCCTGGATGAGGAGCTACGAGAGATGGTTTAGTGCTTGTGGTGGCAATGGTGGTGGGAGGATGGTTGGACTGGATGATCTTGCAGGTCGTTTTCAACCTTGTGATTCTGTGATCAGAGTGTCACAGCTGAGCTGCACACAAGCATTTCTGCAACCACTCAAAGATGTGTAATAGTTTGTTGCGATGTGCACTCGATTCCTTTCACTAGCCTGTCTCTTCCTTTCTGAAGTAGAACACCACAGTTGCATACCTGGGCACATCCAGCACCACTTTTTCTTTTCTACATAAAATTGTTTTCTAAATAGTCTGAAAGCATACTCTGAAACCCGTGAGTTTAATTTGGTTAGCTGGGATTGGATAATTGCCTTGGAATGGCAACTCTTCTCACAAGGACACGGCCTTTCACAAGACTTGGACCAATGTTATCCCATCTGCACTCCAAGCTGACTCTTACTTTAGCATCCAAGGATAGAACCAAGCAATGGGGCCATGTGACATATCTACTGGTTCTGTTGTGTTACTGAACCATGAGAGCTTTATGACATACTTAGAACTATTTTAGCCGAATCAGTTTCATGGAGAACCAAAATTACTGGATGAAGATTTTCAGAAAGTATTAGGCACATGGGGGACTCAACTTCAGATTCCTGTTTTGTTTCCTGTTTCTTTCTCATTTCTATGCTTTTCTCTTTAACCCACCCTCTGGAGAGTTTTCTACCCTAGCAGTACCATTTCTTCGAGTCTCTATTTTTGACTCCAAAGAAATCAATGTATCTTTGGAAGTAAAGGTCCTGCCTTGTGCTGTGTGAGGTCATGAAACTGATAATTAAGAAGGCTGAGGCTGAAATCCCAGCTCTGCTGAAGTTGGGGAAACCTTACTGTTCTTTGTGCTGTGTTTCTGCCACTACATTGTTTTATCCCTCTGTGCTTTCCAGTTCTTCTTTTGCTTGTCAATTCTCTCAGCTTTGAGTCTTTTACCCAGTGGGAGAAGAGTCAGCAATGAGAAGTCTATGAAAGAGGGAGCTGCTATTCAGCCTGAGTGCTCTCAGTCTTCTCCAGAACAAGGTGTGGTTACTGAGAATTTCAACAACATTTGAGCAATACATACCCACTCATTTAACCAGCTGCTCACTTGCTGCATTCCTGGAGCTAGAAGCAGTTGAATAAGAGTCCATGTGCATTGAAATAGCAAATCTGATAGCTGCAGAGAGTTCTTTTATAGCCAGACTCCACCAGAAAATCTACAGATGGGCAAGAGATTGGTAAAACCTGGTGTTGCCCCACTGGGATGCGTGAGACGCCTTACAGGTATTCACATTTACCACTAATGCTGCTGCTGGTTTTGTAGAGTTTAAGCAATAATCTCTAAAAGATACTCAAAGTATTTGTATCCTTCATGTTATTCTTTGCCTTGGAGCACTTGGGAAAAGCCTGTGATGATGACTGCGAGTGTAGCAATGATCCTGCAGGATCTGCTTGATCACCCAAAGGTGTCCCTTCACAGACACAGAAAATAAGAAAATGACAAATTTGGGGGGTCACAGTGGCTGATAAATAATGAACCTCTCCAAGGATTTGTGTAGCAACAGAGAGACAAATGTCTGAGAGAAACTGGATTTCTGAAAGTGGAGCTAGCCTAGCCAAGTCTGTCTTTGTAGGGTTTTAAAGCAACAGAAAGTCATTAACGTGAAGAAAGGGCAATAAGATGTAGTCACTATTTTCAAACAAGTTACTTTGGGATTAATGTGTTTGATTTAAAAGCAAGCTGTTCTCCCTCCCCTCAGCCACCCCTTAGCACTGAATGAAGCCAAGGTAAGTGTGCTGTCAGCATCTCTCTTCCTCAGCTACGTATGTGGTGGGATCTGGATTAACTGTTATGATTACGTTTCTTTTTCTCCTCTAAGCCAGGTCAACTTCATGCCTTCTTTCTCCTGTTATCTTTCAGAGCATGCTCCTAGAACTATCATCTATCATGAAAAAGTAATGGCATTCTGAGGACAAGAGATAAACTAAGGGAATGAGCACAAACCACCTTCAGCAGAAAGATAAAATGCCGATTATCTACTACTGTCTCCCTATCTGTCCCCTTAAAATGCTTAATTCTGATCTTTAAGAAAGCAAACGCTTGTTTCATTCTTCAATTTTATGCCAGTCCCAGTAATACTGTACTCTGATTGCTGATGTTCACAAATAGCTTGCTCCACATTTTATGATTTTTCTCATATAAGCTGAGCTGGATTTTGTCAGTGCATGTTGTCACTGCAGAACCAGCCCGGTGTCTTTGGGACGATGTTTCGGAATATACAGCTTGTTATGCACATGAGTAGTGTTCATATCAGCAACCAGCCTGATGCATAGACCTTAAGGGTAGTAGAAGGCCCAAGACTTCAACAAGGAAATTAGTTAATTTAGCATGAATGTAATTTGGAAGGCAATGTGGCCTCTATCTGCCCAGGGCTCAGCAGCCAATGAATAAAAGATGGACCAAGCACAGAAGGAAGCTGAAGAAG